TTTTCTATTTTATTTATTTGTTATATAACATAATACCTGTTGCTTCTTATATCAAAAGCTCAGCTAAAGCATACCTATATAAAGACGAGACGAGAAGAGCTAAAGATCTATTTAACAGGTTAGGGTAACGAATGTCAATAAATTTCCTATATCATCACTGTCAAAGTGACATTGACAAACAGTGACCAACGTCCCAAATTGAGCCTTTTTGAGTTTTTCCGCGAGTTTCCAATCAAGGTTAGTAGACAACTACATAGTAAATGCTAAGCTAGAAGCTTCCATACAGGGAAAAAGTTCCGTTCTTTCTCCACTTTTCAGCAATTGTCAATGAATTCCTATCGCGTTTGGCACTTCGGATCAAGAAAACCAGTGTTAAAATCACCGGATATCCAAAACGGTTGGAAAATCGCTTTGCTGATAGAAATAGAAAGCAAATAAGGCAAAAATGCGAAACTGAGTGCCAGCTCACCTGTCGCAGATTGAAAGCATCCATCAATCATGCGGTTTTACACAGGGTGAATGTTTCTAATGTCTATTTTAATTTGCAGCAGGAATTGTGATTTCTGCTGTGGGCGCTCGGTTTTTCCGTTTTCAAACTCGAGAGGAATCAGAGCGCAGAGAAAAGCGTAAAACGCATCGCATTCCCGCTGGCTTCGTTTGCTTATTTATTTATTTATTTATGCATTTATTCGATTGCACTAAAAATGCCACTTGAACACGCACATACGTGTGGCTGATTCGCATACAATTCTTCGCCAAACCCAGAGATTTTCCCTCGATCTGCAGGGTTTTCTTCGTTTATGCAATGTCACGTGACCGTCGGAATTAATTACAGTATCAATACTATCCAAACAAACATTTCACAATGTCCGTAAACGTCTAAAGGCAATTAATCATCGATCTGAAAAGGTGAAGACTGACAAGTCCTTATTATGTTGCCGGTCATTCGGACAGTTTTCGCACGTTCTCGTCCCTACTTTGGGAGCTTAAATCGATTTTTTTCTCTCATCATCTCATCGCCCATCATACATTTTAATCATTTTCATGGCCAAACAGTTGTTATTGAAATATCGAAATATCATGTTGTTCTGTGCAGGTAAACACTCAATCCGTTTTGGCTTATCTCACAAGTAAAGTGCATTTTTCACATTTAACTGTGCGATTTGTAACTAGTGGGTTTTTCGGGTTTTGAGGCCGTCGTAGAATAGAATTTCTTCCTGACGATTGGCTGAAGAGTGGAAGGAGAACTAGGGATGACACGAAATACTTGTCACAGGTATTTTGGAACAGATATCGATATGGAACAGTCGGGACCTGTTATCGATATTTAAAATAACATGTGATTTGAAATAACAGGGCTCGCCTACGATGCTGGTAGCGCTATTTACCTAGTCTGGACATGTTTCAATATTTGTTTATATCAAACATAGCTGAAGTATTAAACGGCCAATTTTCAATTAAGTGATAAGATGAATTGTAATCAGTGATTAGCATGAAAATAGAAGATAGGCAAACTTTTTCACATTTTACTGCCCTTAAGTAAGGAAAGGTAAAAAATGTGGTCACCTTTTTTGTGTTCAAATAAAGTTTCAATAAAATGGTAAAACGGTACTCATAAAAAATGTTGACTTTTTTTTGACCATCAGCCCTTGCATACATAAAGGAACAAAAGGCATTCATTCGACCGCCGACATTGGCTACGATTAGAAGTGCGAGCTAGTAACTAATACTAACCTCCTTCGATTTGTGACTGTATTTGGTGAGTGGGAT